TAATTTTGTATTTTAATTGATCAATTAAATAAATTTTAATTATATATATTCACTGAATATTCAATAAATTATTTGATAAATAAATTTAATTTTCAAATATTCAATTTAATAAAATTTATTTATTTAAATATTTGAATATTCAATAAATATTCAAATATATCATTTATTAGATCAGATCTCTAGTTATATGATTAAATGATTAATAAATAATTAAACAGTTAGATGATTAATAAACAGTTATATAATTAAACAGCTAAGTGAATATAAACAGTTATGTGATTAATAAATAGTTATGTGATTAATAAATGGTTATATGATTATTTGTAATTAATTATATAACTTCTAATTGGGTGATGTGATTAATCACCAATATAATTTTTCATGGTTTCAAACTTTACTCAACAAGCAACTTAATAATTACCTCAGAGATATTCATCATATTACAAAAAAATCACTTGTAGATAATTCAGTAAAAGTTTACCAATAGACGATTTAGTAAGTAATAATAAAACCTTATACTTTTTATATTCAAAAAAAAACTTATACATCAAGTTGTGTACTATATAGTTTTACATACTCAGCCTATTTATCTTGTTGAAATTAATGACTTTAAGCTTTTGTTAAAAAGTTTTGATTTTCATTTTAAAATAGCATATATTAGTACAATAAAAATGATTATATTTGATATCTATATTTTAGCAACAAAACAAATAATAAATCTTATTTCAAAGACATCTGACATGGTTTCTTTAACTCTTGATATTTGGTCTTCACAAGCACATAATAGTTATCTTAAAATTACTTGTTACTAGCTTACAGATTTATTTGAGTTGTATAAGATTATACTTGAGATTAGAAAGTTAGATAATTATTGCATATCTGATATTATTAAATCAGTTAATTCTGTTTTTGATAAGTTTAATATTAATTATCAAAAGATTTTTTCTATCACTACAGATAACAGAGTAAATGTCAAGTCTGCTATATAACAAATAGGCATTACTAATATTAAGTGCACTAGATATATATTACAATTAAGTAGAAATTTAAGACTAAAGCAAGTTGAAGGGCTTATTTCAAAGTGCAAATTACTAGTTTTTATTTTGTCAAAAAAAAAAAAAGCTACTTTGTAAAGCTCAGTTGCAAATTACTCCAGAACTAAAAAAACTACTAGATGTTATTAAAGATATGAACATCAAATAGAGCTTCATCTTTTATTTTATTGAACATCTTGTGTATTTAAGATCTGCTACTATGCAATTATACTTAACTCTTAACAATTATACTCTTAGAGAGGTTAGAAAAGAAGCAGAAACAATGAGTTCTTTTCTTTTTTCAGAAGAAGAGTTTAAAATATTGAGAGAACTCATTGTAATTCTTTCTTTTTTTAATGAAGCAACAAAATTCTTAAATAAATCCAAATACTCAATACTTGGTTTTATGACTCCAATGTTAGAAGAACTTGCATATTGGCTCAAGTACTTTACTAGACAAAATAATAAAAAAATTTTTGTTAAAGATACAATTTTGGATAATTTAATTGAAAAGTGAGAAGATCCAAGTAAGATTGGTCTGTGCTGCACTTTTTTCAATTCATGGTTTAAACAATTAAATTTCTGTATCAGTAATTTACACTATATAATAATCCAAGTTATATGCTATTAATTTAATAAAATGAATTCAACACAAACTACTAATGATAATACTGCTTCAACTAACAATAATAATACAACCTTAACATCATATCAACATAAAAAACCTAAAATAGCAGCATTTTTTTCTTATTCATAAACAGAAAATATTGCATCTGACAAATTTAACTGTTATTGTAAACTATCTAAAATTTCTCTTAAAGAAGAATCTTGTGTTCTGGCTTGATGGCACTAATACAAAGCTCTCTTTCCTACTTTGATAATTTTAGCAAGATAATATATTGTGATGCTGGTTGCTTTTGTTTCATCTGAGCATCTATTTTCCAATGCTAGCAATTATATAATAAATAAACATATCAGATTAAATCCAGATCTATTAAAGCAATTGGTATTTCTTAAAAAAAATATAAATAGCATTGATGTTTTTTTTATTTAAATGTTTTTTATATATTTTAACATTTATTATATATTAAATATTTTATTATAATATACTTAAATAAGAATTATATAACTATATTAACATTTTATTTATAATATTTAGATTAAGTAGCATGATATAAAAATGTTTTATTATTTACTTAAAATTCTGTAAGTATCCTTGTTAAATATATTTTTCATTTTAGTTTGTATAATCAATTATCATTTAAACTTCATCATACTTATAAACATTTTATCTTATATATAATTTAAACAGTTAATTTTATAATATAAAAGACTATTTATTTTTCTATTTAACTTTAAATATTATTTAACTACTTCCATTTATTTATTTTTTATAAACTTAGTGAATATAATAATTTGTTTGTTAAAATTTGCAATACATACTTATTAATACTTACTTTAAACAGATTTTTATGCTTTAAGCCTTTTAATTTACATTAGTTTGAATTTAATATATATTAAAATTATTATATTTAGGTTTCAGAATTAATGATTCAACATCTAATTTCAGATAAAATAGGTATGTTTTATTTTAAAACAAGTGATTTATAAATCATATTTTTTAAAGTATATACTAGTTTATATAATCTTTTACTAAAAATATTTATTAAATAAATTTATATTTATTATCTAAGTATTACTTATTTAATTTTCTAATTTGAAATTTAAACAGAAAATGATTTTTTTTAATTATTTACTTATTTTTGAAATAAGTTTATTCTAAAACCCCCTATTATCCTACTTAGTGCTTGGCACAATCAAACAAAAATTTGACAGTTAAGTACTTGTGATTAAGTCAGATATCAAACAAGTGCAAATTAGTGAATACTATATTATATATATATATATATTGTTATTCTATATCTACTTTTTTTAAGATAGTAGGTAACTAGAGCAACCTTAAACAGTGAACACTTTTTGTAACCTCACTTGTTACTGTGTTATAACTAAGTTAGAAGGTGTTTTTAAAGAAAACTTAACAAAGAAGATTTAAGGCAATTTGCAATTATAAAAGAGATTACAATTAAAAGTATATAAGAATACTAATAATTGTTTAGTTTGGATAGTATAAAATAGGAATTTAAATTGGACACTCTCATCTGTAGATCTCTCAACCAAAAATTGTTAAGAAGCAAAATATAGAAAACTGCAAAACCTGCTAGGAAACATCATTTAGACCCTTAACAAAAAAGGAAGAACAACAAAAGTTACATCTAGCTAAAGAACAAAGACACAAGTAGAAAAGCTCAGAAGTAGCACAGCTTGGAAAAAGTAGAAAAATTCTAATGAAAACAAATTTTTGTAAAAATTTTGGGAAATCCCTATGACCCTGTTGTGAAGATCAATTAGATTATACAAGAAACACAAAAATAAGTAAAGTAAACAAATAAACACATGTAGTAAAGTAGTTTACTAGAATAGGCACATGACATAACAACAACCAAACCAAAACAACCAATGGCCAAAATATGTAACAAAGATATTATAGAGCATATTAAAGGTATAGAAGACAGAAATCGCAAATATGTTGATTGCAAAATATTAGACCAAGTGCTTAAAACATCAACAAAAGGCCCAAGCAACATAGAGCACATTGCAAAGGAACTAGCAATCTACGACCCAAAACACATTATGCCACAAGACTTGCTAATTTATGATCAAGTTTTAGAAGCCTTAAGATTAGCAAAGATAAGCTGGCTTAAGAAAGAAATAATCGACAAGTGGACAGAAAAGCTAGGAGCAATAAGCTACAATTCAAGCTTATTTAAATATGATGCAAATATAGAAAGAAGAGAAGCTTATCAAGAGGAAAGCAGAAAAGATAAGGTAAGTATGTTAGTTAAATTTAACAAAGCAGGAAAATCCATCCAAAGCAAGCAGAGCCAAGAAAAAAGAAACAATTCTGAAGAATTAGAGCAGGGATTAGAAATACTAGAAAAGCAAATGAAAGGGCTTAGCATCGATACATCTCAATACCAAACAAATCAAGTCACAAGTAATTTAGAACTCAAAAAAGAAATATTAACAGAAAACAAAGAGACAAATCTAGAAATCGTGAATATAGAAATGGTAGAACAAGAAGAAGAAATGAACAGTGAAGATGATAAAACAATATTTCCCACAGGGACAATTGAACATAATCGATGATCTTCAGATAACTGAATATGTAATAAAAATAGGTTCTACAAAGCAAATATGCTGACATATGCTTTGCCAGGTGAAACTAAAGAAGAAAGAATAAAGTATGTCCAGTGGATTCTTGGAAAAAACCATTACATTAAAACAGTCAAAGAAGTATTCAAAAATGAAAATAATTGGATAGAAGTAGATTTTGACTATGAGCATAACAGAGATGCAGCAATAGACAGAATCAAGAAAAAAGAAGGAGAATGGCTAAAACTTATACCAGAAGAATCCAAAAACAAAATGCAAGATACAGAACAGCAAGAGGAGCATAACACTAAGAGAAGAAAAGAAGGAAATACAAGACAAACAGAAGCAAAGAAGAATAAGAAAACAGAAGAGTCAAATGTTAAAAACAAAGAAAGAAAAGAAGAAGAATACAAAGACACAAGTTAAGTAAGAGCAGAAATTAAAAACACAAAAAGCTCTTGGACAGAAGAGGATTTAAAGATAGTAAACTATCTAATGATTTGGAACCTGCTAGCAAATATCAATATAGAAGAGGTAGAACACATGTGCAGAAGCATCAAAGATGCCAAAATAGAATGAATCAAGAGATCCAAATACAAAGCCTTAGCAGTAATATATACGAGGAATTTAAGAGAAGAAAATATTCCATGGACCTTGTCAATTGGTACACACAAACTAGCAAGAGTGTCCAAAGGCAATGAAGATTACAGCCTACAAGACCAATATAGTCTATATACATTAAAGTTATTAGAGCTTCCAGGAAATGTATCTGAAGTGCTACTACTACGATGCTTAAGGAAAAAAGGTGCTAAGTCAGTATATATACTAACAAACAGAAATGGAAATCAAAGAAGATCTGCAATAATTACTTTTGCATCAGAAAAGGAGATGAAGGCAGCACAAACTAAGCCAATTAGGTTTAACAATAACTTGCTATTTTGGCAAGATGAAATGAAGAAGAAAATGTGAAAAGAAAATGAAGAAGATCAGTATAAAAAGTGCATAAATACACATGACATTGATATAAATTTAGATGCAGAAGTGTATAAAAACAAGAGTAACAGGAGAGAAAAAAACTCAGAAGAGTGTAACAAAAGTAAAAAGAAGCATCGCATATATCTAACAGAAAAAGAAGATTCACAAACACGAAGCCAAGACCTTCTGGAAAGGATACTCGAGAGACTAGAGAGACTTGAAGCACAGCAAAACAAGACAAGATGGAAGACAGAAGAAGAAATGGCCAACTGCTTCTAATGGCGCCACAGTTGAATTAATGAGCATAGACCAGGAGATTGGAGAGTTTTTGCATAGTGAAAGAAGAATTTTCGAAGAAAGAAATACAGATGCATCTCTTGGTTATAATGAAAAAACAAGAAGAAAAGAGAAAGAAAAGATGGAAAACATGGAAACAAAGCACAAGTGCTTAAAAAAAAATTGGAAACAAGAAAAGAAGGAAATAAAAATTGCATGCCACAACATCAATGGACTTAAAACAAGAGGATGAAAAGTAGAAAACCTTTTACAATAGGCAGGAAAAGAAGAACTAACAATACTAGGAATCATGAAAACAAACATTACAGAGAAAAAAGGAAAATTCATATTTGTTTTTTATATTAGCATTATAGTTGTTATTAGCAGTAAGGGATGTAATACTGGAAAAAAAAAAATGCCTGCGTGAGGTGCAGACATTTTTATTTTCTTACATCCCTTACATTATAAATAGGAACAAAGAATTAAAAAAATATTTTTAAAAAAAGTTAAAGTACAAAAATTTTAAAACTTGTCAATTTAAAGAAAAATTTTAATTAAAATACTGTAAATTTAAGGAAAAAATGAATTTTCCAAGCTTTTACAAATTAAACAATATTTTATTCAATGAAAAAAAATGTGTAGAATTTCTTTTTGAACAGGGAATTTTACAAAAACCAACTGAATGCTCATACTGTAAATACAAAATATTATATTTTATTTCAACATGAAAAATTTTTGGTTGTGCAAATTGTATGAAACAGACAACTTCAGTTTTAAAAAACACTATTTTTTATAAACATAAATTGAAGTGCAATGAGATTTTATTAATTGCATATCTTTGGCTAATTAAATCAAGATATACAACAATCAAAAAATTTACAGGCCATAATTCTTCAACAATAATTAGATTTATAAAATTGTTTTGCAATATAATTACAAAAAGCTTAGTAAAAGAAGATACTAAAATTGGAGGAAATAATGTTATTGTTGAAATTGATGAATCTAAGTTTAGAGCTAACGAAAATCACTGGGTTCTTGGGTTTGTTGAGCGAA